AGAGGAAAACTATGAATAACTCATCTCTCGAAAGCTTTTCTCAATATGTAGCAGAGCTACACAGAGAATTTTTTGTTAAGGTATTAATCCATTCACTGAGATTCTGTCGTTTACACAGTGTTCTAAATTCAATTACCAGAAAAGCAAATTTTGTACTCTGGATTAAAAGAGAGCATTGACTGTCATTTATTACCAGAAAAGCAAATTTTGTACTCTGGATTAAAAGAGAGCATTGACTGTCATTTGGTTTTATTACTAAGTGTTTACATTCTCTCTTTCAGGTTTGTTCCAAATGGAGAGAAATTGCACTCACCATGAGAGAAACTGTCTTTGATGAGGATGACAATCAGCACATAGATATTCATGATATCAAGGTATGATAATTGTCTGCATAGTGGTTATCAATCACCACTTGCATTCTGTAGCTTTGTTTTCATTGATTAATGTTTTTTTTTTCAGTGTAAGGAATGGGGATTTCTCCTTAAGAAATTGTTTGGTGTAACCCTTGGCACAGGTGATTATGGCCATTTGACCATTGATCATAGTGCAATGCTACTCCGACATTTTAGGTCAATGTATCATTATTCTGGGCAAGGATTCGAAGCCTCGCACAAGTTGCATCGCCAGTTGTATTCCAGAGCAACAAACCATGATCAGGCAGGCCCTGGAGAATCATGTATGTASAACTGTCATTCTTCCATCTAATAAAGCAATCGCATTAAGACCATGAAACAAGCTCAAAGTTGGTATCCMCAAAATAGTACTTATTAATGACTTAATACAACCAGAGCAAATAATCAACAAATGAAATACAATAAATAAAGATGCTTTATTTTTTCAGTATCTACTTTGATTTTGTTTCATGGTTTTACTGCATACATATGCTCTGTTATCATTTATCTTATTCTACTTTAATGTTTTCACCATTAAGTGGACCAAATACTCACCCATTGGTAYGCAACCCATCTACTGGAGCTGAGATATACATTCCGCGAAGCAGTAAAATGCCTTGATTCAGGTTAGTGAAAAGTACTTGTTCTCAAACATTAATTTTGTTATGACTTGCGATATGTAAATTAAGATAGTTCATTGTATATGTGTACCATGATAAAGTTCAGACATTGAACATGT